TTTTTCCTATGCCAAAATGCAGTAGGTAAAGTCGAACATACAGTTGTTTCTAATTTTAACTTAAATTCATTAATTTGAGAAATAATAACTGGATCAGTTAATTGTTGATCAATTCTTTTATAATTAATTTCTTCTTTAAGAAAATTTATTTGTCGATTTAATCTATTAATAGTGTGAGAGATAGAACAATCCTTTAATTGATTTAATTCTAACATTTCAGGTGGAGATAAAAATTTAAATGTTCAAGCTTTACATAAAAGTCCAAAAGATAAAACTCTGTTAATTCAAAGTAGTAGTACTGATTCACATATTAATGTTCTTCATTCTGCGCTACTTCCCCTTTGATGGTATCAGAGCCAAGTTATGTTGTTTCCTGTTTCTAACTGCTTTGCTACTTTCGATTAATCCATTCCATTGTTTATTTGATTATTTTGGTTTCCGTCATCTTAATCTGCCACTAATTCTATCTGTGTCTTTCCACCTTGTTTAAGTCACCCACTTTCGCCTGAGTCTTAGGTAAGTCCTCTATGAAGGCAGTGTTAGACATAGGGGCATCCGAATAGGATATGTATGTATACAAGGTATGTGAAAACATGATAAATTTGGACAATGTATTAAGATTCCTGTAAAACAGAGTAATTAAACAGAACAATGAATCGATTATTTAGAAGTAACTCATCAGTCAGTTTTAGGTCAACTATTTTGCCCTCAATACCTAATCAAGGATTAGTAATTAATAAAGAAGATGTACAAATACAAAATGATAAAATTGATTTAAGTTGGAATATACCAAAATTATCTGTGAAAGAAATTTATAAAACTACTTTTATACAGAATACTTTTCATGTTAATCTGCATGTTAAAACTATTGAACAAATTTATGCTTTAGAAAAACCCAGAGAAACCTGTCGTTTATTTGATGCTAACTTAATCAAAAGACATTTAAAAAATGATAACAATTTTATACATTTAGAATTAATTTAAGTTGGTATTAAACCATTAACTCAACAAGGTAAAAATACTTCTGTTTTGTTATGTTTACGTGATGTTCGCTTTCTAGACTACAATGGCAGTTTAATGGGAATGATGGAAACTGGTCTTCATAAGGTCCAGTATAATTTAATTGTTTTCTTGATTTTACACTTAGTTTACGTGATCCACATATATTAGATGCATTAACTTTAAATATTCAATTAAATGATTCATTTACTAATATGAAAGAAAAAATTCATAATATTGCTGCTTTAATTTATCGTGTTCATTATAAATGCATGAAAACCAATTTAAATGTTCAAACTTTACATAAAAGTCCAAAAGATAAAACTCTGTTAATTCAAAGTAGTAGTACTGATTCACATATTAATGTTCTTCATTCTGCTTTGCTTCCCCTTTGATGGTATCAAAGCAAGTTATGTTGTTTCATGTTTCTAACTGCTTTGCTACTTCCGATTAATCCATTCCATTGTTTATTTGATTAATCCATTCCATTGTTTATTTGATTATTCTGGTTTCCGTCATCTTAATCTGCCACTAATTCTACCTATGTCTTTCCACCTTGCTTAAGTCACCCACTTTCGCCTGAGTCTTAGGTAAGTCCCCTGTGAAGGCAGTGTTAGACATAAGGCATCCGAATAGGGTATGTATGTATACAAAGTATGTGAAAACATGATAAATTTGGACAATGTATTAAGATTCCTGTAAAATAGAGTAATTAAACAGAACAATGAATCGATTATTTAGAAGTAACTCATCAGTCAGTTCTAGATCAACTACTTTGCCCTCAATACCTAATCAAGGATTAGTAATTAATGAAGAAGATGTAGAAATACAAAATGATAAAATTGATTTAAGTTGAAATATACCAAAATTATCTGTGAAAGAAATTTATAAAACTACTTTTATACAGAATACTTTTAAAGTTGCTTTGCATGTTAAAACAACTGAACAAGTTTATGCTTTAGAAAAACCCAGGGAAACCTACCAATTATTTGATGCTAACCTAATCAAACGACATTTTAAAAATGGTTACAATTTTATTCATATTGGTTTAATTCAAATTGGTGTAAATCCATTAACTATGGTAGGAAAAAATACCTCTGTTTTATTATGTTTAAGAGATGCTCGTTTTCTTAATTATAATGATAGTTTAATGGGAATGATGGACACTGGTCTTCATAAAGGTCCAGTACATTTTAATTGTTTTCCTAATTTTACACTTAGTTTACGTGATCCACATATACTTTTTGGTTATTTAGCTAAAATGTGAGCTAAAAAAAAATTAGTATGTTTGGGATGACTTTTTGACTTTTTACGAAAAGATGTGCAAAAAGTAGAGAGAAAATGAAATCTTTAACTTTTTGGTATGAGCTGTTGGCTTTTTGATTTTTTTAATAACTTTTTGACTTTTTGGCTAAAAGGGACACTTGCCAAACGAGGCCTTAGTCTGGGGCTAAAAAGTCTCATTTGGGATAGGCTTTTCAGTTTTTTTGACTTTTGTAAGAGAAAAAATAAAATGATTATGAGTTGAATGTGACATTTTATCTTATTTTACTAAAATAAGTTATTTTGTTCAATATGACTATTTTAGTCTAAACACTCATCCTAAACAGAGTTTTAAAAATTCAAAAACTTAACTCTAAATTGAGAAAATTTTAGTGAAGACAAAAATTAAGCCTCCGTTTGGAAAGTGGGTTGGCTTTTTAGTTTTTTGGCTTTTTTGACTATTTTAGACTGGGCTAAAAAGCTTGGTTTGGGAAGGGCTTTTTGACTTTTTGACTTTTTTGACTTTTTTTGTGAGAGAAGAATGCAATGATTATAGGTTGGATATGATGTTTTGTTTGTTATGGCTAAAATAGTCTATTTTATTTTTTGTGGCTAAAATAGCCAAAAAAACCTGAAAACCATCTTGCCAAACAGAGGCTATATAATTGACAAACGCAACGCAACTTCAATTTCATTAGTTAGATAATATAATAAAGTCAAAAAAAATTACGTATTCATTGAAATAAAAAAAACTAATAAGTAACGAAAATTAAAATTTTTTGTATAACTCAAATTAACTTGTTAATTAAACCAACAATATTTTGCAAAATATACAAAAAAAATTTATTCCACAAATATTTTTTACCTATATTTCTCTCTAAAACTCTGTTATATGATTATATTTTTTTTCCCATGATTTTCTTACAAAATTATTCATCTATTTAAATACATGTAAAAAAATAAATTTTCATTTCTTTCACTTTATGTTTCCATTTTTATTTTATATCCCTTTGGGTTCGTTTGATTTGTATTTCTGAAAAAATTTTAAAAAATTTTCTCTACAAATAAATTTTTAAAAGTAATCAAACCAAACAAATTTTTCCAAAAAAATTTCTCAAAACTTGTAAACCAAACAAGTTTTCCAAACAAATCTCTCTCTCACACACATCAAATCAATCACTTTTTCCAAAACTCTCTCTCAAAATAATTTTCCAAAACATCTTTTGAAAAAAACCAAACCAAACAACTTTTCGTACTTTTTATCTCTAAAACACATCTCTCAAACACAAACCAAACATACCCTCGAAAATTAAAATTTTTTGTATAACTTAAATTAACTTGTTAATTAAACCAACAATATTTTGCAAAATATACAAAAAAAATCTATTCCACAAATATTTTTTACCTATATTTCTCTCTAAAACTCTCTGTTATATGATTATATTTTTTTTCCCATGATTTTCTTACAAAATTATTCATCTATTTAAATACATGTAAAAAAATAAATTTTCATTTCTTTCACTTTATGTTTTACCATTTTTATTTTATATCCATCCGTTTCTTTTTCTAAAGAAACGAAACATAAAGGGTTCGTTTGATTTGTATTTCTGAAAAAATTTTAAAAAATTCTCTACAAATAAGTTTTTAAAAGTAATCAAACCAAACAAATTTTCTCAAAATTTTTTTTCAAAACTTGTAAACCAAACAAGTTTTCCAAACAAATCTTTCTCTCACACATATCAAATCAATCACTTTTTCCAAAACTCTCTCTCAAAATAATTTTCCAAAACATCTTTTGAAAAAAACCAAACCAAACAACTTTTCGTACTTTTTATCCGTAAAACACATCTCTCAAACACAAACCAAACATACCCAAAAATTTGAAAATGAAACAAAATGAATGAAAGGTAAACAAAATAGTCACATTTTCACCCACCTTTTCTCCTTTTTTAAATTTCTACACAAACCAATAACCCGAACACAACCTAAAGGAAAAATAAGAGAAAAACCAAGAAAATTATTACAAAAAACATTGAAATAATGGATAAATTACAATATCTCTTAAAATTTGTTTAAAATACAAATTATCACCTATGAAAAAAATTTATTTAATAAAATTAATTAAAAATAATAAAATTTTTAACTATTCACCTACACAATAATAAATTATCTGAATTATTAATTAAAATAATTTTAATATTATTAAAAACTATTAATTAACTTGATAATTTATTAATAAAAAGACCTATTTATTAAAAAATTAAAAACTTTAAAAAGCATAATGTAATTTTTAAAACCACTAGAAATAATTTGTAATTTAAATAAACCTCACGGTATGTTTGTTTACCAAAATAAAAGAGAGAATTCAAAGCAAAAATATAAAAAACATCAAACCCAACTTGAAATAATAATAAACAGCCATCTTGGGTTACAAAATTAGAAAAGAGTTTTACTCTGAAGGATCAATATCTTGGCGCAACACACCTACAGGAAGCACCATTAAGATTTTCCTTCCATCAAAGAAATTCACAGAAGCTACTTGATAGTAAAATACGTAAACAAATAATAATAATTTACACTACTTTAACAGGTAATACAACAGTTTCACTTTCAGTCTTTTAACGAAGTTTTGGAGCAAAGCCTGCACACTTTTGAAATGAACACTTCAAAATTTAAAACCTAATTGCAATAAAGCCAGTTTTGGCTCTTCCAAAGAAGGCCTTTTAACTTTCATCAACATAGCAAAGGACTCAACAAAACAAACAAGTCATTGGAGCCTTCATTTTCCAGCGGTAACTGCTAATTACATGAGATGCTTTTGGAGCCCAACCAATGGTCAGGCTACAACAAAGAGCATCATTCAAATCTCCGTTCTCATGTATCAATCATCAGGCTTTTTGACAAACACTAGACACATTTAGTTGTAATAAACCAAGTCAAAAAGGTACAATTAAAAATGCAAACTGATTCAAATGAACAAAAAGGTATAATCAAACAATGCAAGTTGTACAAGTCTAACTACTACAAATTACACTAACATGGAACACAGATTTTTCACTGTGGGTGGTTGACTCAGTGGCAACAACTACATATAACATCTCCATATTTGACAATACATGCATTTCAACACCATAATATGATTTCAGGTAAACAATGCATGTGGTAGTGAGTAGAGATATTTAGCAAGTTAGCAAAACACATTTTTAGGATTTCAACAATGTCACATAGTGATTGTGGAATTAACTGTGAAAATCAAAACAAATGGTAAGGTCAGATCCGAATTGGGTTTTGCCTCAGAGGTAGTGACAATCCGATATCATCATTTGGATGTCTGATAATACGTGCAAATAAATGCATCATAGGCAAACCAAGAAATGGGCTTTTGTTGGGTACATAGGGTATCAAAACAGAGTTGTATCACGACTTACAATTACAAAGATTAATTGCCCTAATCCAAAACTGCACGACAAATAATAATTATGTGAAAAGAACAAACAATGCTCAGGAAAAACTAATTCACCATTGAACTTCTCCTTCCCTCAGTTAAAATCAACCAGAACACAAATCACAATTTAATTACATTATACATGCAGCACAAATGCTGCATTATTCTTATAGATAAATGCAAGAAAACCCAATATAAAAAATTATAAAATAAACACATCCAGGAAAGAGGAAGTGAACCAGTTCAAAATCAACTCTTAAAATATAAATTTGACTTGTAAAAAATGGGAACAAGAAAACAGAAGACAAAGTTAAACTTGACAGAGCTCCACCCCAATACGCAAACATAAAGAGAGGGAATAAATTCAGCAAAAGTAATACCCAAACCATTCTACTAAATGTGACAAAGTTTGTGCATCAAAGAGATTCCCAAAGGCAAATCATCATACTCCGACATGGGAGTGCTGATGTCCCTGTCTATTTTATCATCACTTGCACAAACTGTTGTCCAAATGAGCAATATTCAATCATTTTTGAAGTAATTTGGATCATAGTGTTTTAAAAATGGCTGTCATCCATGTAATCAAGAAAAAAAAAAAAATACCATAATTGGTCATCAAACAAGTGCCTCAGATTTAGGTTTATATCATTGGACACTCATAGTATATTTAAACCCATCTTTGGCACAATAATCATATCAAATCATAGAAACCCAACCATCTCAATAGTTTCAGACATCAAAGAATTAAAACTTACATAAATACATATACATATATATATATATATACATTTATACATAAAATCTAGAATTGCATGGACATTAAAATCACAGTATATTGCAAACTCGCAAAAGCGATCTCACTGAATTGTTTTATACATAAAATGCATCAGAGAGATTCCCAAAAGACCAAGTCATCTTCCTCGAATGGAGTGCTGATGTCCCTGTCTATTTTATCATCACTTGCAAATTATCAAAAATGTAATCTTTACATACCTTTATGAAAGAAAAAAAAAAAAAAAAAAAAAAAAACAACAAAAAAAACAACAACAACAACAACAACAACAACAACAACATCATCATTTAATCAAGCAAAAATGTAAACCAACAATAGGGTCTGTAACCCAAAACCCAATTTTTATATTACCACTTCGAGTTAATTTCATCAACACCACAATCAATAAGCAAGCACTACTTTCCTTAATAGTTAGTGAATCAAAAAACAAAACTCATCATAAACTATCAAATATAGAAAACAATGAAAAAAATTGATTCTTTTCTAAGCAAATTGCCACATAAACTTCAAAAGATAATATGAAAATCACAACTCTTAACCATTCGAGCAACAAATCACAAGCTAAAAGAAACGCAGCTCATAGAAAAAATAAATCCCTAATCCTATGAAATCCTGTTTTCAATATTTTGAACAGATTTCAGTAGGTACTAGTGAGATGGCCGCGTGCAAGGCACGCCATCTCATGCCCATTATTGGTGCCCATTAAAAAAAAATAAAACCATAATTTAAAGAAAAAAGGAATACAACTCTAGTTAATAGGATTGATTGGCAAGTGCCCCTAATTTTATTTTTTTATTTTTTTTGTAAGGAATACAACTCCATTAAAAATATTTTTCATAACTGTTTGTTGTTATTATTACTAATTTCTTAGTTGAATTCCTAACACAAGGTTAAATTTTACAAAACTGACTCCCAATATTCTCAACATGGACATGTATAGTAAATCAAGTAGACGTGCATAATTGGATTTGGCCTAAGATCAACAACCATTGTTCATTAGGATACCCTGCAAACAAAAATGACATGTTGAATGTAGACAATTACCTCCAAAAGAGTTCGGAAAATTTACCATGTATAGAAGAAACAGAGAGCTAAGAAAGGGCATATTAAACTTCACACCAGGGCTAAAAGTGTGAATTTATTGTTGCATAAGAGGTGACACTTTTGTTCATATGGTAAATCTTTTTGGTTTGCGATACAGTTGATGCAACTTTAACCTTCTAATTAAGTTAAACATATCTACAAGAGAAATTATGAACTCTCAAAACACAAATATAAACTCTCCATACCTCCAAAAAACCAAAAAAAAAAAAAAAAACCAAAATGCCCAAATCTAAAAGTATCTATACAACTTACAAAGGTGAAACTTTGTAAACTTATCACCCAAAATGCAACAAAAAGTTTCAATTTCAGGCTTTAGCCCACAAAAATGACAAACATTCAATCACCAAGCTCATGAACATTTAAAAATAAAAAAGATTAAAAATCCATTAGTAATCACATATAAAACATAAAACAAGTTTTAGAAAAAACAAACACACACACAAATCAAAAGATTTAAATAATAAGTAGAGAGTTACCCTCAAAGGAAGGAGAGCTAGTTGTTAATTTAATGACCCTGACTACCACATTACCACCAAAGCTCTTAAATTTTTCTGAACCAAAAATAGAAAAAGAAACTAACCAAATTTGAAAATATGAAAGAAACAATGAATGTAAAGCTAATACAATCATCAATATTCATTCTCTTAGAACTACCCATGAAAAATAAAAATAATTAAAGAGGACATAGAAGCAATTCTTATTCAATAAGAAAACAAATAATTGGTTGAAAAGTATAAGGGTCTTCTCTTTATTTTTCTGAACATAAACTAACAAATTTAGGATCGTCAACTAGAAATCCCAAACATCTTAGTCAATGCATAGTATTATAGATTTAATTACATATCACCAAAAAAACAAAAAAGTTGAAAAACAATAACAAACACATTGAAGTCAGTTTTGTAATTCTGCACAGCTGAAAATAGCCCAAAAGACCCTAAACTAATTTCACAGTTCACCATCACAATAACAAAACCCCAAGCAAATCAACTGAACAAGAACTATATTCATACTAAATGGTTGCAATTTGCAAATTGCGCACAACATTGACTGAAACAAAGCACAGCTTCTCCTTCACATTGTCCATATTGAAGGTCTCACCCAGAGTAGCAAAGAAGAAAATTAAAAAAAGAAGAAGAAAAGAAACAGAGATACACATAGTATTGAAACCCAACTCTACACTTTCTCTTTCAACCAAAAAGGAAGGAAAAAATAACAAATTAAAACTACCAAAGGATACACATCAGATGCCTCATAATCTTCTTCATAAATCTCAGGTTTATATTAAAAAAAAAAAAAAGAATTTAGGGTTTTAGAGAGAAGATATGATGAAGGCGAAAGGGAAAGATGGGATCAAAAGAGAACACAAAATCATTTCAGGGTTTTGAGAGAGATTGTACCAGGTATATAATAAAAACTCCATTCAATCTATGCTTTATATATATATATATATATATTGTATAGATCTTGAAATTAGGGTTTAGGTTTGGCACAAAGATTGTTGTGAGTGTATATATATCTATCTAGAGGTTTCGCAGCTAGGGCACAACAAAGGATCCCTGTTGCTGCCAGGTCTGGTGGTGAGCGAATGGGTAATATCTACGGCTACGCTTTCTTCGCCGGATATTATTAGATTGGGACCGTCCATTTAAGGGTTTTTTGGTTTTGCCCTTTTGGTGATTCTTTTTATGCGTGTAATTGGACTTGTATTATTTTGATTCTCTCGATCTTTGAATTTTTAAGTATGATAAATTTGATTTTAAATTAAATGTTTCTTTTACAAATGATTTATTTTAAGGATAAAATTATCATTCATTTTATTTGTATTATTGCAGTTAACTTGTATGTTTTTTGAAATGTAATGATTTTCCTTTACTATAATGCTGGCAATTTCTTAATTATAAAGTTCTGTTTAGTTTAATTTTTAGAATCTATTTTAAGAATTTTTTTTTAATAAACTAATAATTAAGTTAGTGAATTTTCTTTTTATAAACACTTATTTTTATATAATTTTATCTTTGGGATGATAGAAATAATTTTTTAAAATTATTATTTTTTTTATATTTATTTTCGTCAAATTAATTTCTATTTTTTAAAAAAGTTAAACATAATGACAATTTTGATATCATTATTAAATCAATCCATTAGATCAAAAAATCAAAAATTAAAACATTTTAAATATATCGATTATACATTAAAAACCTAATAACTATCTATTACAAGATAACTATAAAAAAAAATATTTGTTAATAACTAAAACAATACTCTATTACATGATAACCATAAAAAAAATTAAAAAAAATTAAAAAAAAAAAACATTAACAAAAACAACCACTCATTACATTATCATCATCCAAACATATACTAAAAATTAATTTACTAAAAAAAAATAAGAATGTAAAAGATTTATCATTTTTATATAATTTTATCTTTAGTGAGTAAAAATAATTTTCAAAAATTTAAAAGTAACTTTTTAACATTTAGTTTTCTCAAACTAGTTTATATTTTATCAAATTGATAACTTTACATTTTTTTTTGCAAAATAAACGTTGTCTTTAATTATTCTTATTTGAAACGAGATTCAAAATTTAGGATCAAATGTTTCACAATTGAAAGGTCAGTAATTAAAATAATATAAGTCTCAAAGTACAGAGACCATTAATGTAATTCATTATTCTTTTATTGGCTTATTTTAGTGAATATTTTAAGTTTCTATATTTTACTCAACCAAATAAATCAAAAAATTAAAAAAAAAAGATAAAAATAATGATTTGTTTTGATTTATTTTTAGGTTTTTAAATTTTTTATTTTTAAAATTTGTCTAGTGAAAACATAAAAAAATTAACATAATTTGAAAATAGAGCACTATAAAAAACAAAGGGCATTGACCTGGAGATCATATTTGAATAGTTCAAAATTTATGTAGTTTTAAAATAAAATATTTGAACCAATTAGCTATATATATTTTTATTTGTTATAAAAAAAAAAAAAAATAATAACGAAAACATGACAAAATTTAACCACATCCTCTTCAACAACACAAATCACGGGAAAAAAAAATTCTTTAATCGTACAACTGCATGAATTTGTAGTCTCAAAATTATAAAAATTATAAGTTTGCTCGTTTGCAATTTATCAAAATATTATTTCACGTCGCACCGATGGTCTTAGATCAATAGTTTCTAAATTTTTTATTTTTAAAATTTGTCTAGTGAAAACGCAAAAAAATTAACATAATTTGAAAATAGAGCACTATAAAAAACAAAGGGCATTGACCTGGAGATCATATTTGAATAGTTCAAAATTTATGTAGTTTTAAAATAAAATATTTGAACCAATTAGCTATATATATTTTTATTTGTTATAAAAAAAAAATAACGAAAACATGACAAAATTTAACCACATCCTCTTCAACAACACAAATCACGGGAAAAAAAATTCTTTAATCGTACAACTGCATGAATTTGTAGTCTCAAAATTATAAAAATTATAAGTTTGTTCGTTTGCAATTTATCAAAATATTATTTCACGTCGCACCGATGGTCTTAGATCAATAGTTTCTAAGGGTTTTTAACTTTTCAATTTGTTAACATTTGCTTTTTTT